AATTACAGAATATTATCTTTTATATCATTTGAAAAACATTAGTAAAAATCAAATCACAATCATTTATAAGTTAATACCGATGTTTGCACTGTATGTGGCATTAATACCTCGTTGTGGACCTAAATATGATTTTTAAAGTTAAAAAAATAAAATAAAATATCTAATAAACAACTAATATAATAATTAAATGTTTTCTGTATTAATTGAAATATACTTTTTTCTTTGCGAAAACAAACACAAAACACAATTAATCCTCCGATTAGGCAAATAACGATCACAACGACAACTATGACTACTAACCAAATCCATGACCCTTTTGAGGCACTGTCGGCACCGGTAGTCGATATTATAGCAGATGATAATGATGTTGTTTTTACCAGAGATGGCAATGATGATACTGATGTGATGGTAGACGACACTAACAGTGCTGTTTAAAAAAAACCAGATTTTTTATTTTATTTTTTACCAATCATTTATAGTATTTGTTGTGAATATTATAATGTTTTAATGTTTGTGTTAAATACCGGTCAATAATATCATAAGCATTGTTTGATGACAATCAAATGTAAAGTATGTATAAAAACAATTAACAATTAATACAGTAGGAAATCACCAACAAAAAAAATAAAATAGTTTATAAATTGTCACCAAAAAAATTAATAACATTATTTGAATTGGTTTAAAATCTAAAATAAATTTAACGTTACTTTTATATAAAACAATTGTTACTAATGCTCGTGTTATTATTTTCTAATAACTTAATTAATATTAATAAATCAATTAATATTTAATAGCAAATGTGTTTTATTTTTAATTAAATTTTTAGTTGACTTAATCTAGATATTTATAATGAAAAAAATTATTTTTTCAATTTTTGTTTGTTTGTTTAAAAATAAATTGCATAAATCCCCAAACTTTATACTATCACATAGACATTAACACTAATTTATGACTTTTAGTACGTAATAACCGACTACGGATGCAAAATATAACTAATCCAATAATCAATAGTATAGTAATTGTAACTACAGTTGACTTTATAGATAAATAAATATTTGCTGTTTGTTTGCAATCAATCAATGTCTTCAAATGTTGTAATTGGCACTAAAATATATGTTATAAATGATTTTAAAATAATCTTCAAAATAATTTTATATATTAATTTTTTTCTAGAAAATTACAAACATCTATCTTATTGAATTGATTTCCAACATAACAGTATTTGATGACATTGTCAATGTCCATAAAGACAATGGATCCCTGACCGTCAATATCGGTTCCCCAATCGTAATCATAGTGACTATACTGGCCGACTATACCGATTAACTTAATGTCCAACTGTCTCTCACGATCGCCTCTAATGATATATTGTTTGGACTCATTGGGCACCAGTATCTCAGTATTCGGTTTGTTTGGATCGTCAAAATTATAGACTCTGGTCACACCATTAGCCCAAAATGTTGCAAACCGTGAATCAATCTGATGGGGCACCGGTACCCATACTAATGTCGGTTTGAAATCATAAGTGAATGTAATGTTTGTTGATTTGGCTTTATGTTTAAGATTTAGATCATTACTGTAAACATCAGCCCAATCAATGATATTCATGTCTTTCTATATATATATATATATATATACAAAAAAAAGTTTTATTTACTGATTGTAAAAATTTTTGTTTATTATATAATACTACTACTAATTTTGTTGATTGAATTACCCGCAGAGCACCGACACGACAGTGATTATGATTAACGCCAACAATCTTAGGCTTGTGATGACCCATAAACCAATTACACCATACCATAGAGTACTTATCACCGGACAACCAGTTGGACTGACCGGTACTGTTCCTATCGATGGACACTGTTTTGTTGATACCGTCATTGAATGTTAACATCCAGTAGGTGTTACCGATAAACAAATACTTTTGATAGTATTCATACTTATAGTTGAAACGAAATGCAAAATCAATTTTGTGTCCATTTTGGACGTATTCATCACAAAAATCTTTTTTGGATTCATTGTTGACAACCAATGATAGTAACAACAGTGCTATAAATAATAGTTTATACATTATTTTTGGTAATCAATTTACTATAAATGTAATGATTTGTTTTTTTTTAAATACACTATTTATAAAATTATTTAAAAAAATACTTTTTATTTATTATATATCGGATAAATTTTTTATGTGATATTCAATACTAACGTATATTATATAAATTAAATAGAAATTTAGTGTAATATTAATAGCAATAGTAGTTGTATTAGAAATATTATAGCATATAAATGATTAATATAATACTATAATAGTTATGAAATAAATAACTTGTATTTACAAATTTAATTTATTATAAATTTAATTGTTTTATAGTTATTCTAATTTATTATATATTTACTGTACTTTAATTTGTAATGATTTTATGATTTAATTAAAACAGTTTTTAATAATGCTAGCGTTAATTAAGATAAATTATTATCATTTAATTTAGTTGTAATGTAAATTTAAATCAGTCTAAATGTTTTATTTTATTTTAATATAAATTTCTGAAATATGTAAACTAAATTGATTATTATTATCTATCACTATATTTTTTACAATATTATTATTTTTATATGTTTATTATACAGTAGTAAATGTATATATTTATAACTAGTGAAAACTGAAATTAGATATTAATTAATTTTTTTAGTTATGTCTTGCAATCATATAATTTATATAAGTTTCATATCAGATGACTAAATTGTATTAAATAAAAAAACATTTTATAAATTATTAAAATATAGTGATATATAAATAACATAATCTACATATTTATTTTATATTAGCCCTTTTTATAGTATGTAATTTTATACAGTGTTTAGTTATAAGTAAATATAGTAAATACTGTATTGATATAATCAAATGTTATAATATATTACATAGACATTAGCATTGGTTTGTGTCTATTAGGACGGATGTATGATCTACAGGTGCAAAATATAACTAATCCAATAATTAATAGAATAAATAGTATAGAAATCATAGCCATTATAGATTTGATAGTTTTATGGGCAATTGATTTTTGTTTGCAATCAATTAATTGTTTCAAGTGCATCCATTGACACTATATTGAAAAAATATATTAAAAAAAATTACAACAAAAATAAATATAATTATATTCAATTCAATTCAATATACATATTTTCTATGGTATGGATTTCCCACATAACAGTATTTGATAACATTGTCGATGTCCATGAAGACAATAGATCCCTGACCAGCAGTACCGATACCTTGACCGTAATCATAGTCACTATACTGACCGACGATTCCGATTAATTTTATAAGCAATATTTTTTCAGGATTGCCTCTAATAATAAATTGTTGCGATTCATAGAGCACTGGTATCTCATTAATCGGTTTGTTTGGATCATCAAAACAGTAGACATCGGTCGTACCATTGGCCCAAAACGTTGTTAATCGTAAATCAGTTTGATGTGGCACCGGTACCCATGCAAATGTTGGTTGAAAATTATCTGCAAATGTAATGTTTGTTGAATTGGCTCTATGTTTAAGATTGAGATCAACATTGGAAACTACGGCCCAATCAATAGTTTTCATATTTTTCTAATTAATTATTAATATGAGTTTTAATTGAATGTTTGTTACGTTTTTTTTTTTGTTTGTTTGAATAAATACAGTATAATAACCTTTAGAGCACCGACACGACACTGATCGTAGTCGACACCAACAATCTTAGGCTTGTGATATCCCTTAAACCAGTTACACCATACCATTGAGTACTTGTTACCGGACAACCAATTGGACTGACCGGCACTGTTGGCATTGATGGTCACTGTCTTGTAGTAGCCGTCAATGAATGACAATTTCCAATAGGTTTTGCCGATGAAGAAATACTTGTAATAATGTTCATCGAAATCAGTGAAACGAAATGCAAAATCAATTTTGTTTCCATTTTTTACATATTCTTCACAGAAATCCATTGACGAGGACTTATTGGTAACAACCGATGCGATAGTCGACACAAACAACAACAACAACATTCGTGTCAATAATAATTTACACATTATTTATAATCAATTATTTTATATATAAGAAACAAGTTATCATTATTTATACCACAATTTATAAAATTAATTTTTTTATTTATTCATATTTCACACAAACAGTATAAATACTGTAATATATTAAAAATACTATAAATATAATACTATAGAGAAATCTATGAATTAGCAATAATTAATATATACTGTAATATATCAACAAAAACAACAAAAAATATTTTTAATTGTAATTTTAGTAGTTTATTTTAATGTAGTTGTAACATATAAAAATATAATTCTAGTTATTATAAAGTTACTTGTTTACAATTACAGTAAAAATTGTATTTTTAACATTTTTATCAGAGATTTTAATATATTTACAAAATTATAGTAAATTAATTTTATTTTCTAATTATTTATTTATCTTTGAAAAATTATTACTGTTATGTTAAATTTGAAACTTTATTTAATATATGAAATTTTTTAATGATAATTTAATTATGCAAGATAATCTTTTATAAAAAATAATTTTCATGAAATATTTATAAAAAAAGATATTTAATGAAATTATATTGCTTTCAAATAAGTCAACTCATGTAGGGTAGGCATGTAGACACCGGTGCGCAGTTTATATCAATTATAAGTTTTAAAAAATTAAAATATCTAATTATAAGTAAAATATTTATAATTTAAGTAAGTAATATAAAACTAAAATAAAATCTATAAATCAAATGATTTTATCGGTGATTTCAATGAAGTCATTAATTAGTTTGTTTTTATTTTTATGGTCGCGTGATATCATAACAAGATTTTTGTATTACAAATAAATTTTCAATTTGTCTATAAGTTTAGAGATTATTATTTTTTAAAATAAAATTTTGGTTTCTTTCTTGAAATTAAATAACAGTATTTTTTTCTGAAATATATTTATTTATATACAAACTGTTTATCAAATGAGATCTATTAGTATTAGTTGTCTAATTGGTATATATATATTAATGCAATTTTTTATTTCAAATTATTAACTAACTGTTAAAACGGTTGACAGAACTGTCGGTGTTGTTGACGTCCATCACATCAGTTGTTATCATCAATAGGTCGACAAAGAATTTCTGTGAAGAATACATAAAAAATGGTCATAAAATTGATTTTGGATTTCGATTTTTTGAAGACACAAATTATGATAAGACAGAGTCACGCAAATACTTTATCATCGGTAACACCAGTTGGCAGTTGACATACATCGATGGCTCCGATAAAACTGTTACCATTGATTCATTGAACATTACCGATGATTTTGACTGGTTGTCCGGTAAACAGTACACCATGGCCTGGACAACATTTACAAATAAATTAGATTCACGAAATCTACCTGTTTACTGTGGTTTGCAGGTAATTACGATAATAACAACTATAATAAAAAACAAAAATTAATTTCAATACTATTAAAAAAATCCCTATTTTTCAAACTTATAGAAAGATATGAAATCTATTGATTGGTGGTTTACATACAATATTAATATAGTAGACAAACATTTTTTGACTACATCGACAATAGTATTTCCAACAAATTTTAAGCCCATAATTGTTTGGTCTCCGATTCCTATTAGAGATCGCAGTCCGATCGTAACATTTTTGGACAACAACTCAACACTTGTATATGATTTTTCAAATTATTCTCATCCGACCAATACATCGAAGGTAAACACACAGCAAATGTTTGTCATTGAAGGAAAACGAGAGACAGAAATCAATAAAGTAACAAAATTGATGGCAATTTTCAGACAGTATAGTCAGTATGATTATAACAATGGAAAGGGTGATGAAATGGGTGGTCAAGGATCCATTGTATTCACCAATGTAGCCAACAATACTACCATCAAATACTGTTATGTGGGAAATCCATACAATGAGACGGCCGTATGTTTTTCTAACTGTATATATATACTAACATATAAATTATAAATAATTTGATTTTTGTAGTGTAAACCAGAAAATTTGAAGATTCTGATCGACTGCCGATCCCATACAACAACAACAACCATATCTATTACAACCATACCTACACCAACTGTTTGGTTTAAATGGTTGAAAACTACATTACTTATTGCGGTTAATGTAATCCTATTGATACTCATCTGTTTGATGATATACTTAATATACAATCAATGGTTACAACGATACAGAAAATGAAAACATTTTATTTGATTTATTTATTTTTTTCATTTGTAATTTCAAAAATTATTAATTATATTTATAGTTTATAAAACACACATTTTTTCAATAGAAATTATTATTTTTTTTGTTGAGTAAATTGAGATAAATTATTTTCATTAAGTTTTTTGTATTAAATCACAATTTTTCTATTTATAAGTATTATCATTTAAATATTGTTTCATTCTACATATTTAATTTATTTTCTATTTTATATAATTTGAATTTTAAATATATAATGTTTTAGTAAATATTATATAACCAATAGGAAGTAAAGATAAATGTCTATTACATTGACATTAACATTGGTTTCAGTCCTTTTGAACGGTTGTATGGTTTATGTGTAAAATATATAACTAATCCAATGATCAATAGTATAGAAATTATAGCCAAAGTAGACTTAAGAGCTTTATAAACAATTGTTGTTTGTTTGCAATCAATCAATTGTTTCAAGTGTTGTAATTGACACTAAATTAAATTATTAAATGAAATACTGTAAAAATTATCATATATTCAATAATTCAATTCATAAATACCTGTTTCTCATTGAATGGATTTCCTACATAACAGTATTTGATAACATTATCGATGTCCATAAAGACAATGGATCCCTGACCAGCAGCACCACTGGTGGCGCTATTGTAATCATAATAACTATACTGTCCGACGATTCCGATTAATCTAATGCCCAAATTTATCTCAGGATCGCCTCTAATGGTATAGTGTTGCGGTCCATATGGCACTGGTATCTCAGCTTTTGGTTTGTTTGGATCGCTAAAATGGTAGACATTGGTCATACCATTGGCCCAAAACGTTACCAATCGTAAATCACTTTGATGTGGAACCGGTACCCATGCAAATGTTGGTTTAAAATTATATGAAAATGTAATGTTTGTTGAATCGCCTTTAGTTTTAAGATTTAGGTCACCCTTGGAAACTACAGCCCAATCAATGGTTTTCATATTTTTCTAATTCATATTTTATAATTGATTATTAATTGTAACTTTTTTTTGAATTTTACAAACCTTTAGAGCACCGACACGACAGTGATCGTAGTCGACACCAACAATCATAGGCATATGATGTCCCTTAAACCAGTTACACCATACCATAGAGTACTTGTCACCGGACAACCAGTTAGACTGACCGGCACTTACTGTATGAATGGTAACTGTTTTGTCGTAGCCATCGATAAATGTTAACTTCCAGTAGGAATTGCCGATGAAAATGTATATCAGATATTCTGTTTGAAACTCTTGTTTATAAACAAAACGAAAGAAAAAATCAATTTTGTGTCCATTTTTGACATATTCTTCACATAAATCCTTTGATAAGGACTTATTGATGACCACCGATAAGATAGTCGACACAAACAACAATAACAGTGCTATCAATAAAATTTTACACATTATTTATAATGATTTTTTTTCAATAAATTAGCTATCATTTCGAATTTATTTCACTTTTATACAAACAAATATAATTATTTAAAAAAATCTATTATATCTATTATATATTTAATATTTAAATTGTAATTTTAGTATTAAGTGTAATGTTACTACTGTAGTAACATTAAAATATATTGTAATGCAATTAATATATTTTTTTTTAATTTTAAAAATAATGTATTAAATATGAATAATAGTTTTTTTTATGAAATTATAGATTTTTATTTTGATTAATTTTATATATTTTATTGTATATTAAGCGTGAAATTTAGTTTAACATTAATTATATTGCTTTCAAATAAGTCAATTCATTAGGTGAGGCATATATTTGGGTGTCGAGCGGCCGTTTGATTGCAAAATCAAGATATTTGACATCAATAGGTTGTTCGCCATCATTGCTACCGGTGCTCATTATATCAACAAACTCGTCCAGTGATTCAAATTGCTGTCCATCGATAACACCGAAAAACATTASTTATTGTGGTTAATGCAATCCAATTGATACTAATTTGTTTGATGATATACTTGGTATACAATCAATGGTTACAACAATACATAAAACAATAACAAAATAAATTGATATAATTTTAGTTATATTAGTTTATTTATTTGTTAATTATATAAGAGATATATGAAAATAAATTCAAATATTAACTTTATTAATATATGATTTATAGAAAATATAATCAAGATAACACTTTAAGATAATAGTCTGTCTGTCTGTCTGTCTGTCTGTCTGTCTGTCTGTCTGTCTGTCTGTCTGTCTGTCTGTCTGTCTGTCTGTCTGTCTGTCTGTCTGTCTGTCTGTCTGTCTGTCTGTCTGTCTGTCTGTCTGTCTGTCTGTCTGTCTGTCTGTCTGTCTGTCTGTCTGTCTGTCTGTCTGTCTGTCTGTCTGTCTGTCTGTCTGTCTGTCTGTCTGTCTGTCTGTCTGTCTGTCTGTCTGTCTGTCTGTCTGTCTGTCTGTCTGTCTGTCTGTCTGTCTGTCTGTCTGTCTGTCTGTCTGTCTGTCTGTCTGTCTGTCTGTCTGTCTGTCTGTCTGTCTGTCTGTCTGTCTGTCTGTCTGTCTGTCTGTCTGTCTGTCTGTCTGTCTGTCTGTCTGTCTGTCTGTCTGTCTGTCTGTCTGTCTGTCTGTCTGTCTGTCTGTCTGTCTGTCTGTCTGTCTGTCTGTCTGTCTGTCTGTCTGTCTGTTTGTATGTGTGCACATTTCATAAACAACCATATTTTAATTCAAATGTAAAAATGTATTGTTATATTTTCAATTTTTATTTAAAGTAATGTTATTTTTATGGGAAATTTTAAACGTTTATTGAGCTCAGGTAGATTTTAGGGACAGGTAGGCAGGTGTTGTGTAATTACACTTTGCTATATTATATTAGTTACAGGGCACCGGTAGGTAAGCTACCTGTGCTAAATTTTTGTAAAATTTTCTCAAATGCAAAAATTTCCAATTTGTGTTAAAATTTTCAATTTTTATTTAAAGCAGTGTTATTTCAATGGGAAATTTTAAATGATTATTGAGCTCAGGTAGATTTTAGGGACAGGTAGGCAGGTGTTGTGTAATTACACTGTTATATTATATGAGTTACAGGGCACCGGGAGGTAAGCTACCTGTGCTAAATTTTTGTAAATTTTTTTCAAATGCAATTTTTTTTCGCAAAAATGATTAAATTTTCAATTTTTATTAAAATTATTTAAATATATATAAAAACTAAAATTTCTCAACAGTTTAGTCGAATTAATGTGTATTGGTTCAGTAGTTTTGTTACATTAGRTTATGTAGTAGTTGTTTAAACAAATTAAGTATCATTAAAATTACTTATGATGAATATTATAAAATTAGTAAAAGAATTGCACGGCTATACATGTTGCGCGGGTTAAACTAGTTTTATTTAATATTAGATTTAAATACTATTACAATTACAGTATGTATTATAATTTTTTAAATATAATTTTATAAATTATGGTATTGTAATTTTTAGAATTCAATCAAACTTTCCAAATAATGTTGCCTAAATAAATATAATTAATTAAAAAATTATAGAATCATAACTTAAAATTAATTTTATAATAATAATTAATTAAATACCCCAAAATCCCATACATCATAAGGCCACGATATGCTATTATGCCATTCATTTGTTATAAAATCATATGATTCAATCAAATGTGTACCTATAAAAAATTTTAATTTTTACTAACTTATTACTTTATAAAAAAATTTTGATTAAATTATGATCGAAAAAATATTAATATACCTGTTTTATCACTACCCACAGTTAATAACTTATCATTATAGGCAATTAAATGAAAACAACAACGATAATTTATCATTGAAGCTAGTTGATAACATGAAAACAATCTTTTAATTAATTAATTAATTAATTATTAATAATATTTGATTTCAAATACCAATTAATGTCCATTTATTTGTCAGTGGATCATATGATTCACATGTATTAGAATGTGGATAATTACCGCAGACAATGATTTTTCCCATAAATGAAACGCCACTGAATTGGATTCTATAAATTTGAATTAATATAACAATTGTAGCTAAATTTGGGTAAATATATATATATATATATACATATAAACTCGTTGATACACTAATATATAGTATATTAGAAAACTATATATGAATCAATTAAATATAAATTAGCAAAAAAACAAAAATAAAATTAAATTTACCTTTTTTCATTCATATTGGCCACAGGTTGCCATTTATTAGCACGCGTATCGTAACTTTCTACGGAATCTAATGGACCATGCTCATTTTGTCCGCCAATTGCATACAAATAACCCTCATGAGCTACCAGTGCAAAATAACTTCTTTGTTCAATCATTGGTGCAGATAAACGCCAATCATTTGTTATTACCGAATAAACTTCACAGACGTTTAGAGTTTGATCTGTATTTTAATTTATATTTTAATTATTAAAAAAAATTAGTTTATTATACATCTATAAAACTATACAACATATAACAGTTACCAGATTTTTTTGAATATCCACCGCAAGAATATATTGTCTCATTAGCAACTGCAACACCTAAACCACTTATTTGTGTATAAAATTCAAAAATTAAATAAAAAATTAATGAAAGAAAAATAGATAATAAATAGATAAAATAAGTTTTACTTTCGTTTAATGTTTAATGGATTGTTTGGAGTCCATGTATTGGTTTTAGGATCATATGATTCAACAATATCCAAATCTTCACTATACTATATAAATATATATATATATATATATAAATATTTTTTAAAAATTTTAAATTATTAAAAATCAAATAAAATAATACATCTTCTCCACCAATTGACACCAGATTACCATTATATTCAATTAATTCAAAATGTCTTCTCTCTTTAGACATTGATTGTATGGGAAGCCAAACATTTGTTTTGGTGTCATATTTATTGCACTCGGATTTTACTGATGTATCATTTCTTCCGCCGCAAAAATATAATGTATAATCAATTGATTGATAGTTTTGCTATTAAAATAGTAAATCACAATTAATTTATTTTTATAATTATATATATATATATATATACAGTATATATATTACATTAATTTTGCCATGGTTTATAGATATTGTTAGATCAATAAAACAATATATAATAGCAAATATATTTATGATCTTAAACATTATGATTTCATTTAAAGACTTATTTCAAGAATAAAATATAATAAGTATTATAATTTTTTAAATACTTATATACATTTTTTCTTATCATACTATTGCTAATTTAATTTATATCAGTTCAATGTTTAAGTGTTTTATTGACAAATATTTACTTATCTAATTTTTTTTTAATAATTATATTTTAATATTAATTTACCACTTTTAAAAATTTCAAGTATAAGATTATTCAGTATATATATATTAATATAAGATTACCTTTATATATATATTTTTAGATTAAATGGGAAATTATATTTAATTATACTAACAGATAATAATAATATGCATGCATTGTAAATAGCCAAATATATAATAATCCCTGATAAAAAATTTCATTATAATTTTAGTTAATTTTATAATAATTATTTAGCACTTTAGAGAATATGTAAAAATTAAATATTAATTTAATAACTAAAACTAAAATGTAAAATTAATTTCACTTAAATTTAATTTTATTGTATATTAAAATTAGTCTCAAAATATTTTAAGTGTAACTACATTATTATACAATCGTTGATAACTTAAATTTAACTTTTTTTTATAAATTTATATTTTTATTTATATTAATCAAAAAATTTTATATTTGTTATTATTGTTAATATTGTTATAATTGTTATTAAAAAATTATTAATGACATATTAATTACTACAGATAATAATAATAAATTGCTTATATCAATCAATATATTTGTACTTTTTGTAATTTTTGTACTTATTTATTTGTTATATTTTTATTATTTTATAATTACTTTAATACAACAATTTACTTTTTTTACCATAACAACAATTAGCCTTTAATATATACTAAACAATATATTTAAATTATAAAGTTAATTGAATAAATGTATATGCTGTTATTATGATATGATAATAATTACATTTAATGTGATAAATTTTATTGTTATCTTAAATTATATAAAGCTTTACATTTATAAAGCACTTACTGTATGAATGGTAACTGTTTTGTCGTAGCCATAGATAAATGTTAACTGTTTACACATTATTTAAAATGATTTTTTTCTTCAATAAATTAGTTATCATTTCAAATTTATTTCACTTTTATACAAACAAATATAATTATTTTTTTAAAAATCTGTTATATCTATTATATATTTAATATTTAAATTGTAATTTTACTATTAAGTGTAATGTTAMTACTGTAGTAACATTAAAATATATTGTAATGCAATTAATATGTTTTTAAAATAAAAATTGTTAATTGAAAATTGTTGAAAATTCATAATGTATTAAATATGATAATATGAATAATAGTTATTTTTTGATTAAATTATAGATTTTTATTTTGATTAATTTTATATATTTTATTGTATATTAAGTGTGAAATTTAGTTTAACATTAATTATATTGCTTTCAAATAAGTCAATTCATTAGGTGAGGCATATATTTGGGTGTCGAGCGGCCGTTTGATTGCAAAATCAAGATATTTGACATCAATAGGTTGTTCGCCATCATTGCTACCGGTGCTCATTATATCCACAAACTCGTCCAGTGATTCAAATTGCTGTCCATCGATAACACCAAAAAAGCCTTTCATACCAATCATATGACTTCAAACACATAGAAAATATTAAATTTGTGAAACAGTTGTCTTTAATAACATACAAAACAACAACAAAATACATACTTTCCTGGTGTCTGTTCAAACGTAACGTATTGTACAATGTTTTTGCCATGAAATAGGCTAAACTTTAAGCACAGTCCCCATTTGATGGTACAATGGTTATCCCTGTTTTCACGTTGTCTATCATACGAATTCATAGCTCTGGTGACAAAATCTAAATTATATATAAAAATCAGTACATTGTTTGGTTAGCATATGTGAAAAAACCGGTAGCTAAAAACTAGACAAACATACATACCTTGGATATAATAAGCAGGTATCGAACTGCGCGATTCCATATGTGTTAAACTGTTAACAGCAATCAACTTACCGTTCATTATGTCAACCAATGGACCGCCAGAATAACCGACAGCTATGGGAGCCGTATGTCCTAACATTACGCTATTAGTATCGTAGACAATGGTTTGGGTATTCAATCGGGAAATAATATGTCGAAATCGATGGTTTTCCGGACAATGGATAATACCGGTGCACATGTTGTGCAAGTCTCGGACGGCAAAACCAATGGCCAGTACCGGTGCGCCAAACTCTGTCTCGGTTGTTGACATTTGAAACGTCATAAGTCCTTGGAGTTGATCCGGGTCAGGGCGCAACACTATCAACGATAGATCATGTTCTGGCTCGGCATAGACTACCTTTCCGTATTCAATTAGATAGTCCTCGTAGTCGACCAACTGTACAAATATTCCCTGTACAGCCACGTGCTCGTTGGTCACTGCGTACACATGTCTGCTGTCCGTATCGATGGCAACAATACAGGCGCTACCGGTGCTCAGTCCACGGCGCGGATCGTAGACTAATACTTTGGCCAATTTACGAACAGTAAACTCGTGCGCCACGAATGTATGCCAGTCCTCTGGCTTACTGTCCACCATATAAGCCGTGTATAACCGTTTAGTACATTGCCGTATCAATGATTGTGTTGTTGTTGTCGTAACCACTGATGATTGACGGCGAAACCATTGATGTCGATACCAATTGACTGTCACAATAAATGGCTGAATGTAATAACCATAACAAAATTTATTACACCATTTGGTTAGTCCACACAATGATTGATACATTTTGTTTGCATCACACAAAAAAACAACAAAAAATCTATATTACTATTGTTAGTAATTATCAAATTAAATTTCAAATTAGAAGAGAGAGAGAGAGAGAGAGAGAGAGAGAGAGAGAGAGTTAATTGTTTTGATATTATTGTCGCGCGATATAACCTATAAGTTATATCCGAGACAACAATGAGAACCTATACTATAGAATACCTTTAAAATAAATATTCAATTTGTCTATTAGTTTAGATATTTGTTTGTTTTAAGATTAAATATTAGTACTTTGTTTAACATTTGTTTTTAAATGAACTGTAAATATCAGTGAACAATGAAAGCCATCAATTGTCTGATCGGTATTTATTATTAATATAATGACACAATTAATTCATAATCAGTAATTCATTGTATTGTATAACTGTTTTTACAATTAACAGCAGTCTTGTTGTTGTTGGTGTTGTCGGCCATCATATCTGTGGTCATCAGTAAATCTTCGAAGAATTTCTGTGAAGAATACGTCAAAAACGGCCAAAAAATTGATTATGCATTTCGTTTGTTTGAAGACAACAAATATAAGAATACAGATTCCGACAAATACTTCATCATAGGTGACAACTGCTGGCAATTGACATACAGTGACGGCTCTGATAAAACCGTTACCATTGATTCACTGAACAGTACCGATAAGTTTGACAGGTTGTCCGGTAAAAATTACTCCATGGTCTGGACAACCATTACACGGTCTTCAAAATTGAGTAATACTATGAATGTTACCGGTGCTCTGCGCGTATGTCCAAACAATCAAATATAGTCATTAATTATTTACAAATCTATATTATAGACAGCCAGTAGAAAATTTTACCCCAATGTTAGAGATAATGCCAATTATTTATCCCAAACTCATTCACTAACCACTTCCTAACCGCACATTAACCCCCAAACTAACCGTAACTAAATAATAATTAAGTAATAAAACTAGCATTTTATATATGAATAACTGCTTTAAAAAAACAATATTTTTTTGCTGGCTGTCTTTGATATAGATTTAAGCCAAATTATAATATTTTTCAATTAAATTTTGTTTTATTGTTTTTTTTTTAATTATGTTATCAAACCATTAGAAAAACAGCAATTTAATTGATTGGCGGCTCTACAATTTTGCCTATTTGTATACAACAACTATTGATTTTCAGCCAAACTTTAAGCCCGCACTTGTATGGTCTCCGATGCCTATAACTGAAAATTATCCTATCATAACATTTTGGGATAACAACAACAACAACGATATTAAGACACAAACATTTAATTTTTCATTTTATTTACAACCGACTGACAATATCTATGAGACAACCGATCAGCAAAAGTTTGTTATTAATGGGAAACAGGAGATTAAGATCAATAAAGTAACAAAATTGATGGCAATTGTCAGACAGTATAGTCAGTATGATTATGCTAATGGAAAGGATGATAAAATAGGTGGTCAGGGATCCATTGTGTTCATGAATATCCCCGACAATTCTGTCATCAAATACTGTTATGTGGGAAATCCATTCAATGAGACGGCCGTATGTTTTGTTACATCAATATCTACTAACATATGAACAATTAAATTACAAATAAATTATTATTATTTAGTGTAAACCAAATAATCTAAAGACACTCATCAAATGTTCATCTAAAACAACAATAACAGCCACACCTACAACTACCGGCACTCAAACTAATGGCCCAATTAATTGGTTTAAATGGTTGAAAACTACATTTCTTATTGTGGTTAATGTAATCCTATTGATACTCATCTGTTTGATGATATACTTGGTATACAAGCAATGGTTAAAACGATGTACAAAACAATAGGAGAATTAAAAATATATTATAATTTATATATTTTAGTTATTTATTAATTAATTTCTAAATTTAAAAAATATTGATTATATTTATAAAAAAAAAATTATTTTTAACAATTTTAAAACAATAGCAAAATGAAATGATACATTTTATTTATTTGTTTTATTAATTTTATTAATTATATGTAATTTGTAAAAATATTAATTATATTTATAGTTTTATAAAACACTTAGATAATTAATAATAAAAATATAATTATCTATTTTTCCCATACCTTAAATAAATAAATTGTAAAATAATAATAAATATTTTATATTAACTAATTATACATAATTTATATTAGTTTCAAATTAGAATTATATATTATAGTCAGTATGTATTAATATTTATAATTATTAATGTTTATTAATTACTAAGTATTTAATTACTATTGTTTTATATTAGATAACAAAATAATTAAACATTTTAATAATTGTTATTAATCCTAACAAAGATATTGAAATTAATTTTGATACTAATTTGTTGTTGTGTTTTACAGATTCAATTGTTTTGATATTATTATCGCGTGATGTAACCAATGATAAATTTAACTAAAAAATAGATATATAAGATATTCAAGAATTCAGTTATAGCGAGACAACAATTAGAACCTATACTATAGAATGCATTTTGATAAATAAGTTTAGAAATTTGTATTTTATATCTGATTAAATATCAGCATTTTGTTTAACATTTGTTTTTACAAACAACAACAATAAAAATTATTATCAATAAGATATCTATTATCAATCAACAACACTGTTATCAAATACTGTTATGTGGGAAATCCATCATTTTATTGAAGGAAAACAAGAGATTAAGATCAATAGTGTAACCAAACTGATGGCAATTGTCAGACAGTATAATCGTTATGATTTTGCCAATGGAAAAGGTGGTGAAATTTATCAAAATTTTTAGTAAATACTATATAATATTGTCAATAAATAGGATTTTTCAATAAATGAGTTATTATTTAAAATTTATTTCACTTTTTTATCGTTCATTCATTAATACAAACAAATTATAATTATAATGAAATTATTTTGTAATATTTAAATTGTAATTTTAGTGTAATAGTAGTAGCATTAGAATATATTGTAATCCAATTAATATTTATTAATAATAAAATTTTGTTGATAATTGATAAATGTATTAAATATAATAATTATAGTTATCATTATAAGCAGTTAATCTATTATAAGCTATTAATTATAATTTTTTTTAATTTTCTAAAATTCTAAATTATTTATATAAGTTTTATAGTTTATATAGCAAAATAATTAAGATATTTTAACAGCTGTTTAGTAATCCTAACAAAAATATTGAAATTAATTTTAATACTGTTTTTTAGGCTTGTTTTACATATTCAATTGATTTGATATAATTATCGCATAATCTAAACCAAAATTTAACTAAAAAATAGATATATACGGTATTTAGGAATAAGTAATAGCGAGACAACAATTAGAACCTATACTATAGAATACATTTTGAAAAATAAGTATTCAATTTGTCTATAAGTTTAGATATTTGTTTGTTTTAAGATTAAATATCAGTATTTTGTTTAACATTTGTTTTTATATCACTTGAGTGTCAGTAGATAATGAAAGCCAATAATTGTCTGATCGGTATTTATTATTAATATATCTGATAGAAATATGACACAATTAATTCATAATAAATATTTCATTACATATTTATAACTGTTTTTTACACAATTAAAAGCATTATTGTTGTCGGCCATCATATCGATGGTCATCACTGAGCCTACAAAAAATTTCTGTGAAGAGTATGCAAATAATGGCCACAAAATTGATTTTGCATTTCGTTACTTTGAAGACAACAATTATGATAAAACAGAGTCAAACAAATACTTCTTCATTGGCAACACTTACTGGCAATTGACATACAGTGACGGGCTGTTGTATAGTATAGCTGCCACTTGTTGTTCACGCGATTAATATTTAATACAATTTTAAAGTTAAATATACAAATATCGCGTTAATTACAATAGATTTTATTAAATATAAATATATTATTATGAAATAATATTTTACATTGCAAATTAATATATATATACCTGTATATACTGTAATTAAAATTACATTAAAGGGTTGTATAATTGTTTTATACAATCAATAAAAAAAATAAAATTATCTAAATTGTTGTGAAGTACGTGTCGGCGCCAAAGATATTCGGCTAAATGTAGATAAAGGTTATCTTGTGGTATACCCCCTCTTAAAAGATTGCGTTTCATAGCTCTCCATTGAGATTCAATGGTCTGTGTGTTTGCACCGGTATGTGAATTGACAAACTCTTTCGAATGATTCACAGTAAAATGGACAAAACCTAAAAATTAAAAAATTAATTAACTTAATAATATGTTTTATCTATCATTTATACCATTGTCTGTTAGTCTATAATATCCAGCCCAACAGTCAGACACAATAGTTGTCCCAATTTTTACATGCTTACGTATCAAAGGTAAAAGAGTGTCGGCATCTCTTTTATTTAGGGGACATATTTCTAAACGAAATCTACCTCCACGTCGACAATTAGCTCCTATTTGAATCTCAACTAAACCTAAAATCCACGTCCCATCAACTAGTCGACCTCTATTGTACTTTCTTTTACCAACTTTTGTTTCGTCAATTTCTACGACAACTCCTGAATTAAAAGTTATCAAAATATTATCATTATAATTAGGTTTAGGTTGCGGTCGGAACTCCAGGTTAGGTAACAGAGCAAACACTAATACACTATCAGTTTGGTATTACCATTATAATTAGGTTTAGGTTGCGGTCGGAACTCCAGGTTAGGTAACAGAGCAAACACTAATACACTATGAGTTTGGTATTACCATTATAATTAGGTTTAGGTTGCGGTCGGAACTCCAGGTTAGGTAACAGAGCAAACACTAATACACTATCAGTTTGGTATTTCCATTATAATTAGGTTTAGGTTGCGGTCGGAACTCCAGGTTAGGTAACAGAGCAAACACTAATACACTATCAGTTTGGTATTACCATTATAATTAGGTTTAGGTTGCGGTCGGAACTCCAGGTTAGGTAACAGAGCAAACACTAATACACTATCAGTTTGGTATTACCATTATAATTAGGTTTAGGTAACGTGCATAATTAAATATGTATCATATACTACCTTCTCCTCCTAAGAGATCAACTGATTGATATTTTTCGACCCAATCAAATACCACTTCTCGACAAAAGTTAAGCCAATCACTTATAGTGTTATGAGATGTTGTTTTAGTTAAATCACTTGTTTCTCGTTTAATGTCCTCATATTTTGTTGTGCCGACCGAAAACAGGTACGTCAAGATTATTATGTTTTCAATGCTAAACTTTGATCCAGAAAACCACGTATTATTCAAAGCACTTAGTCTATAATCATGAGGTTGTCCATGCTTTTGGTGGCACCGGTACGATAATTGTTTGACAATTATCTTCTACGAAAATAATTTTTTAATGTATTTTTTTGCAAATTAATTATTTACCATTTCGTTGTCACAAATGGGACACTTTTTAGTTGCTAATAATAAACCCATTGTTATACACCAGTTAATCATTGTCTCCTGTGAGACAAGTATTAGTCTAAATAATGTCTTTAGATTAATCATTTTGTTCACTAAATTTAAGTCATAGCTTTCAAAAGAAACATAACTTTCAAGAAAAACTTAACAAAGAAAATATTCTCTAATTTACAATAAAATTAATAGTAATTCACGAGACATTCATATATTTATCTTTAAAATTGTATTAAATATTAATCGCGTGAACAACAAGTGGCAGCTATACTATACAATACCCCTGATCGACTGTTCCCATAAATCAATAACAACTATACCAAAGACAATCATTGATTGGTTTAAATGGTTGAAAACTATATTATATATTGTGGTAATTGTAATCCTATTGATACTCATCTGTTTGATGATATACTTGATATACAGTCAATGGTTACAACGTTGCAGAAAACATTAGGAGAATTAAAAATATATTATTTATTTATTCATTTGTAAAATGTAAAAATATTGGTTATAATTTATACAAAAACACTTATTTTTTAATTTTACATTATAGTTATTTGTTAAAAATAAGATATTAATTAATTTTTCTAATGTCTTGAAAATCTATAATTTATTTAAGTTATATATTTTACGGTATAATAAATTAATTAATCAAATTTGTAGTAAAATATTTACATTATAATTTTTAATAAATCTAATATTTTTAAATTGTTTTATTCTACATATATTAATTTATTTTCTAGTATTATATAATTTAAATTATTAATATATAAAGATTTTATTTTTATTTAAATTACTATTTTATTTTTTCTAAAAATGAAGGCTACTATATTATTATACTTGAGTTTATTTTGTAATACTGAATCATTTGATACCCCACATGACTATAGTTGTTTATTGTATTATACTAAATCAGTTGATACTCTACATGACTAAATTTGAGTTTATTTTGTCATACCGAGTCATTTGATACTCTACATGACAATCTTTAAATTATGTATATTAGACCAGTTTATAAATTTTTATGTTACTATTATATATAGCCCCTATAATTATACAAACCAATGGTTTTCAATCTATTTATGGTTTTCAAGTTTTTCTGAAAATGCTTTTTTTAACTTTCTTAACTGGTTTTCAATTGTTATTAATCCCAACAAAGATATTGAAATTAATTTTGATATTAATTTGTTGTCGTGTTTTACAGATTCAATTGTTTTTATATTATTATAGCGTAATCTAAACCAAAATTTAACTAAGAAATAGATATATATATAGCGATACAAAAATTACGACCTATATTAAAAAATACATTTTAAAAAATAAGTTTTCAATTTGTCTATAAGTTTGGATATTTGTTTTTTTTAAGATTAAATATCAGTATTTGTTTTTATATGAACTGTGGATATCAATGGACAATGAAAGCCAATAATTG